GACAGGGATGGACAGGGACATCCTCAGGGATGGACAGGGACATCCTCAGGAATGGACAGGGACACACAGGAACAGCCAGGGACACCCTCAGGGATGGACAGGGACAGACAGGGACACACAGGGACAGACAGGGATGGACAGGGACATCCTCAGGGATAGACAGGGACACACAGGGACGGACAGGGATGGACAGGGACGGACAGGGACATCCTCAGGGATGGACAGGGACATCCTCAGGGACAAACAGGGACAGCCAGGGCTGAGGGTCCCTCTCGAGGCTGAGCAGCCCCAGCTCCCTCAGCCTTTCCTGGGCAGGGAGATGCTCAGTGACCCCCAGTGGAGCCCAGCTTTCCTGGGAATGGGGTACCTGACACCTTCCCTGGGATGTGCTGCCAGAATTCCTGCCTTAGCTTCACTTCCAGGCCCAGTTTCTCCTTTCCCCATTCAAATGTTCCCACCTCAGCTCAAGAGTTTTCACTTTTCCCCTTCCAATTCTCCCCACCATGGCCCTGCAGGGGATGGAGTGAGAGCCTGGAGAGGCTGAGCTTAGTCCCCAGCACTGATTATTATTCACTGATTAATCACTCAGCACCGATGCACATACCTGAAGTCTTTGACATCGGCGTCGATCCCGTTCTGAACAGGCAAACCGTTGGATTTATCCATCACATCCCCCTCCTCCTTCAGATCTCCCAATTTATCTCCATCAAACGTGCCCTTGCTTTTCTTATCCCCTTTGTCATTCTCATCACTCTCTGCATCCCTTGGCCCCTGGGCAAAAGAGACATTGTTTTAATAAGCTGAGTTTTCAGATCAATTTTCCTGCTACCCCAAGACAGTAACAAATCAAAGACACGTGTCACCATAAAAGAACTCACTTGCAAACATTAATTCTACCAAAAAAAAAAAATAGCTAAAAATACAAAATATTCAATAATAATCAAAGAAATCAGGGAACTAGCTCTCATTCTTCCAAGAGGTGTTTCATGTCTTCACGTTTCTTCATTTAGTAACTCAAGGTTTGCTTTTATAGGCTCTAAAAATCCCATCCCAAAATAATTTTAAGGAATTCTCTTTCTAGATGGGACTTAAGCACTTCAAAGTCAACACCAACAAATGCTGCAGGGGCATAAAGTGAATTAGTGCCTCTCTGAAGCGCCTGGCTCAGTGTCAGAGACAGCTCTTGACTGGACAAGTGTCTGAAAATCACCTCAGTTTTGGAGGCATCAACAGTGAATTCCAAGGCACAGCTCATTTAAAAACACTCAAATAAATCTCTGCCTCAGTCATTGGCCCCTGTAATCCTGAAGCACATTTCTTTGGGAGAAAAGGGAAAAAAAAAGAGGGGAAAAAAGGATTTCTGTTCTGTTGAGCATTCCATGAGTGGCGTTACATCTGCAGAGAGTCTGCATTTTATTGCACTTGGGAGGAGAATAAAGGGTGATGATGCCTGGGGCAGTGTTTTGTACAACAAAAGGGAGAGGAAAAACAACATAATTTATGATAAAAACCAGCAAGGGGCATATAAACATATTTATCAGAGGCAGCTTTGGTGCTGTCACAGGGACAGACATCCAAAGCCTGCCTTCCGCTTGACTGGAGGGAGAAGTGCTCTGCACACATTTCTGCCTCTATCCACTGAACCCTTTTCCCACTCTCTCTGATTGGAGGGAGGGATTTTTCCCTTGTATTTATAGAAAAAAAAAAATTGTTCTGAAAGCAAAAATCTTTTGAGGTTGCTTTTGAAAGAAAGTAGAATTGTGTTTCCTTAATATTCCTTGGAAACACCACCTGTAAGTCCAGCTGTGGAGCAATATTCCCCCAAACAAGGGGGTTCCGCAGTGACAGCTGTGTCACCACGGTCACTCTGACTGTGCTGAGGAGCAAACCCCTCCTGACTCCCTGAGGATAATTTGCCTCTTTGCCCTGAGTGCACACATCCCAAAAATCCTCCCTGCTCTCCCAGGTCCTTGGGCATCCTCTAATGAGGGCCAGCAACCCCAGCAGGGCTGAGGGAAGCTGCAGGGGACAGCAGCCAAAGGAGGCTTCTCCTCCCCCATTTCTGGAGCCTTTTCCCCACTCCAGGGTTTGATCCCACATCCATAAACTGGAGGCTGGGCCCCTTCCCCACTGCACAAAGGGGTGCTGCCATTCCCCATTCCCCATGGGAAACGAGCTGCCCCAGCAATGGCAGCTGTGAAACACATCCAGCCACTAACAGGAGCTCCAGGGAAGGCTGCCTGACACCAATCTATTTGTTGGAGGGGTTTTATCCCAAAAAATTGCATAAGGAAAACCTCCAGGATAAGGATGAACATTATGCCATGACAGTTATCACCAGGTACAGAGTTTGGAGCTGGAATCCCATTTGTGGGATCAGCACCAAGGCTCAGTGCAGGTTTGTGGGACCTGTCCCAAGGATTAGCTTGGATGGGGTGTTTCTGCTGGGGGGTTTTTCCAAGCATGCAGGGAATGCCAGCACCTTCCCACCTCCCATCCCACATCCCCAAGCCAAGGACTAAACCTGCCCTGTTTGAGAGAAGAGCTAAACTGAGAGCAAGAAAGAAGCCTCTGCCCCAGAAATGATTCACAACCAAACAAACCAAGCAGCAAAGGGAGAGAAGAGCAGAAAGGTGGCAATCAGGCACTTACAAATGCTCCTTTCCTTAGGCAGGAGTCTCCAGGAGATGAGCTCAGCACATACTCCACCATGCTCACTCCCAGCCCTCCACTCTCTGACCGTGGTGACAGCACTGAGTTGACTTCACTGTTCACATGGAAGCCCTGCCCAGGCCTTCTCTGAACCATAATTGGCTGGGAAACAGAGTGATCTGGAACAGAAACATGGGAAACTCTCACAAGCAGATCCAACTATTCAAAGGAGGCAAATTAAATCATTCAATATGTACTCCCCAGGGGCTTATTTGCACTCAGAAATGCCAACTTTGTGATTCTGCTGATGTCCATTAGTTAAGCCAGGATGGATTTCTTCATTTTTTAAATACTACAACATGTAAACCTGCAAGTGAGAGCTAGGTTTAAAATCTAAACTTATAAAATGCCAGAAATTTAAGACTAATTAAAGGCTGCAATTAAAAAATCTAAGTTTCAGTATTTAGTTTTAGTAAAATTCTTGCATTAGCACAGTGAAAACAAGTTTTGACTTGTCATTTAAAACACGATCCTGCTGCTCCACCAGCCCCGTGTCCTTTGTTCCACCAATTGCTGTGTTCATGTCAAGATCAGAGATTTTTTGGCTGCTCTTTCCTCAAGAAAGGGTTTCTGAGGAGTTCATTTCTCCTTCTTCATCCCCCTGTCCTCCAGCCCCAGCCCTTTGCCATCGCTGAGGCTTTGAGGCCCCACCACGACAGACTTGGGGTCTCCAAATCCTTTGGGCTCTGCCAAAAATCCCTGCCTGGGGACGGGAGAGTGACCCCAAAAGGGCAAAGGGAGGAAAGGGAAAAAGGGGAAAAAGGGGGAAAAGGGGGAAAAGGGGGAAAAGGGGGAAAAGGGGGAAAAGGGGGAAAAGGGGGAAAAGGGGGAAAAGGGGGAAAAGGGGGAAAAGGGGAAAAAGGGGAAAAGGGGAAAAGGGGAAAAGGAAAAGGAAGGATTCTCTGCTCCTGACAACAGGCAGGGAGTCAAAAATAGCAGGCAGCAGGTCTGGGAGTTGCCAAGGGCTGGTGGGACAGGGAAGGGACACCAATACCCAAGGATATTGATTGACACTGGAGATTCCTCATTAAGCAGGTGAAAGGAATTCCATCCTCTCACTGCTCCTGACTAAACTTCCTTCCTTTCCCCATCAATGTGGCCACAAAGGGACTTGGGCTGGAGATATTTTTTTGGGATAAAGCTTCCAAAAAGGGAGAACAGCCAGTTTTAACCTGGCACTGCTGCCAACTCTGTGTCCCCCAGGAGGGGAAGGAAGGGCAGGACTGCAGCTTTGAGCTGGGCTGGTTTTGAAGGGTCCAAATCCAGAACTTTGGGGTAGAGTAAAACCCCAAATCCACATGGGAGGCCTGCAGTGCATCCTGTGGGCACGGATGGAGAAGGGATGGAGCCGAGGAAGACCCAGGCCTCACCTGGATGGACTGGGGGGATTGTGGGGGGAAAAAGCTTCCCAAAAAAAAAGAGAAAATCTTGTTTTAACCCAGCACTGCTGCCCAGCTCTGTGTCCCAGGAGTGGAAGGGAGGGCAGGACTACAGCTTGTAGCTTTTAGAAGTTCTGAAAAGCCTTTAAAGGTTTTAAATCCACAACTCTGAGGCAGAGGAGTGAAATCCCAAATCCAGCAGTGCAGCCTGAGCACGGATGGAGCCAGGGAAGATCCAGGGGAGGATCCAGGCTCCACCTTCCCATAGGGGCTGCATGGACTGGGGGGGTTTTGGGGAGCAGAGCCCTCGGGGGCTGCTCCCCTATTTTAGGGGAGCCAAAGGGAAATTTCCAGACCCTCAGGGCTCTGTGAGCTGTGGGGTGAATGGGAAGCAGCACAGGGAGGGATGAGAGGGGCCTGGGCTCCTGCAGATGTGGGATGAGACTGCCCAGGGAGAAAATCCCAGCCTCAGCTCAGGTCCCAAAGCCTGGCTCAGCCCTAATCCCGCTCAGCTCCAGGCTGGACTAAGGCAGGTACCAGGTGCTCCCGAGGGTGGGACAGGCAGCAGCTGCCCAAAATCCCCCCAGTGCCCACACTGATCCAGCCAGGCACCTTGTGAGAAGCTCTGTCCCCTTTTCATGGACATTTTTTAATGTAAATAATAAAACAAGGATTTATCACTAATTTAAAAATGGGTATTTTCATCAGGGAAAACCCCACCCAACCGTGAGGTAAATGCCATTTCCTGGGAGCTCTAAATGCCATTTCCTGGGGAATCTAAATGCCATTTCCTGGAAGCTCTAAATGTCATTTTCTGGGAGCTGTAAATGTCATTTCCTGGGAGCTCTAAATGCCACTTCCTGGGAGCTGCACCAGACACCCAGCTGTGTTTCAGGAGCAGATTCATGACACAGAAACCATGGACAGAACAATCAAAGGTCAGCATTTCAAACCCAGCACTTGCAGGTTTGGTTTTTTTCTTTTTCTCCTAAAACCAACCTGAATATTCTTCCCCAAAGTTCAAAATCAGGGAGAGCCTCTAAGCCAAGAATAAAATCTTTGACAGATAAAATTCAATACTAATTCAAAACCTCGGTTTTTTAATTTTTAAACTGAATGTTGCTCTCCCATCAAGTCCAAAATCAGGGACAGACTCTGATGCAAGAACAAAATCGTTGGCGGATTTAACTCAACACTAATTCAAAACATCTTTTTTTTTTTTTTTTTTAAACTGAATAGTGGGTTTTGGCTGGTTGGTTTAGTATTTAAAAAATGAAGGGATTTTTTTTTTTTTAAGTTCATCTTGTTCTCCAAGATATTTGTTTAAACTTTGCAGCTGATTCATCCCAAGGTAGAAAACACATCAGAAATTGAAATTTTCAGCATAATTTAAGAACTTTAAGCAGATAAACATGAATTTACACATATTCACATTACACAATGTTCTGACATCCCTGGATATCAATTTTATCACAAAACAAAGTGAGGTTTTCTGTTTGTTTTTTATTATATAAACCAGATGGGTTTTTAAATCTTTTCAAAGCTGTATCATCCAGCCTGGCCATGGACTTTGAGTAAATAAATTGCACATTTCTGTATCCAGCCCCAACTAAATTAAGGAAATAATTGAGCTACCTGATGTTCCCCAAGCACTGTCTCTCCACTGATCTCCCAGAAATATCCCTTTTGGTCCATCTTTGCTGGAATCATCAGATTCCCAAAACTTTTTACCCGGCAACAGCTGCTGCAATTAAAACAAAACAAACAAACAAACAAAAAAAAACAAAACAAAGCAAAGCAGGATTAAAATAAGTATAAAATGCCAACATAAACCCCATAAGCATCTCCCTTCTATCAGGTATCAATC